TCTCATGATAATGTCTAGAGTAATAATAATCTAGAGTAATCGCTTTTCGAAATTAAGATTTCTCTGATTTTGAAGATTTTTCTTAAAATAAAGAAACATAAATAATTGAAAATGATTTCAGTATGTCACACAAAAAACTTGTAGAAGAAACAAAAGTTCGAAAAACGCTTGGTGCTTAAAAAAACACTAATTTTGATCTAGTGAGACGACATTTCAAGTTTAGATACAAATTTACATACATATTTTGGCCTGCCTATAAAATGCATATACAGGGTGGCTATTTTCTGAATCTTTGTATGGGTAACTTCTACATTTTAAAGATAGAGAATCCGTTAAATCAGCAAAATTTTGCAGAATTTGATTGCCTATTCATTGTTGCCTTTTGTTGCCGTAAAACTTCAAAAGAAGATAAAAATGTGAAGTAGGCTATGGAAACAAGAACTATATTATCACACAAAGCACAAAACAATAATGAATCGTTTAAATTAAATGTTCTAATTGACTTCCGTTTACGTCCAGACATTTTTTTGGCATCTTCACATTCAACTCGTGAGTTGTGTGAAGGTGCACTATCATGTTGAAAATATGCCAATTTTCGATACGATGCTAACGGAAAACTATTCAACATGTCTTCAAGTTCATTTGGTGAAAACTGTAAATATCTTTCCATATTTAAATTGTGATTATAAAAGAATGGACCGATAATTTTATCACTAAAAATGCCTAACCAGACATTCACAAACAAAACACGTTGATCTCGCCTATTTTCAATTAGATGATGATTTTCATTAGCTCAGTAAACATGATTGTGTCTGTTAATCAAGTTGACTATGACAACGAGTGCTAGTTTATTGAATTCAACGCAAAAAGTTCTACCAAAGACAAGTTTAACTTTTTTTCTAATTTAAGCAGTTTACGAATTATATGATAATTAAAAAAGTGTTGATTTCTTGCCTTTTCAGGATATTTCAGGAATCAAGTCGGATACCTACATTTTGAAAACGGTAATGAATAGGCAATCGAATTCTGCCCAATTTTGCCCATTTAACGGATTCTATCTTTTAAAATGTAGAACTTACCCATATAAAGATTCAGAAAATGGCCACCCTGTATTTTTTAAAAGTAATTTTTTACGTTGTGTATTTTTTTCTATAAAAAGCTCCTGTCTATTCACCAACCACTTAAAAAATCAAATTAAAAAATAATTCAAAAAGGCTACTAGTCAAAAAATTAAAAAATTACCTTCAGAATAACACAGTTTGTGAAAAGAAATGGAAGAAAAAATCAAAATAAGAACAAAACCCACTTATCACGTGAAAATCAAAATATTTCAATGAATTGCATATAAACTATATAAAAATTAGCTTCTTTTCTTATGCGCCATTATCAGCTAACTAAATGGTGAGCAAATTAAGTGAAAACAGCTTTAAATAAACATTATGGTGCTAAATGACAGAAACAGACTCGTTGAAGACAGAAAAGTACAATAAACCTCTGATCAACAAATGCAGCTTAAAATTCAGCCAAATAATGCGGTGTTAAATGATATTGAAATTCGCTTAGAACAAAACTGTAAAATTTGACTTTTGAAACCCAGGAAAAAAGTTTAATACGAAAATTAATAATGGTTGATTAGAGTCCTACAAACGTGAAATAATAAGATGAAGTTTTATTGAATGAACTTACAAAATATAATCGAAACGGTATAACACAAAGAGTCTTCATGCTTCTAAGGAAAGTTAGTAAACAACATGATATAATGAAAATAAAAGTTACTGGAACTTACAAAATATAAACATATTTGGTGATTGATTTACTTTTTCTTTCTGTGAATGTCAATTTTTCTGATACTTAAATTAACAACGTTTGCAAAGTGAAAAATTTCCTGATGACATGGAGTTAAAGCAGTTTTTAAGAACGCTAATTGACAAAAAAACAACAGATATGCTTCGAAGCATCTTAACATTTTGATACAAGCAAGTTAGAACATTACAATTTGTTAGTTAAATATTTTAATTAACGAAGAATTGTTCCTATCTTAAAGCATTAAATCTAATTTTTTAACATAAAGGCTGCATCTTCAAAGAATAATAATAATGGAAAGAAACGTTTATCAAATCAACCGAGTTGGATCTTAGTTTTTCACTTTTAACCAGCCTTTAAGTCAAAAGAATTGTTTCCGTTGTGTAAAAAAGCAGAAAGATGATACCTATAGATATGTTTTGAAATTGTAACATTCTAATCTAGGTAATCTGGGTAGGTTTATGAAAGTATAAAAAAGCGGACAGGTGTGTGTTCTAAAAAAGAGATTTCCAAAAGGTTTCGTCTGAAATTCGGTCATCATCCACAGATTTATGAGTCGTTTGGTCAGGTAGGCAGCTTGGATGGCATTAGATGCAGATGTGCACCTGTTGGAAAATGAAATAGGGTGCGTTTGATTGTGGGAACCGTAGTTTCGACTTTTTAAATCTCCGCAACTAATTGCAACAAATAAATGGTGACGAATTTAAAGAGATGCACGTAGGAAAGTAAGAGTTACCAGCGAAGATACTATTGACATTGCTTATTATAGAAGAACATATCATAGATTGGAAGTAATTGAAATACAGCCAGAGAGATCCGAATTTTAAACATACAGGAGCAGTTGACGAGATTTTGATCTAGATGACTTTCTGCATGGAACAATGAAGAGCTATAAGTGCGTGTATTAAAAACCAATATAATAGTCTCTTTTTAGGGCGATTCAAAATTAACTCATGGAAATATTGCTAGCAGTGTTGATTTTCTCAAAGTGGGTGTTTCATTCTTTTATATTACACTAATCCTCGAAGCTGCGTCGTTGCATCAAGACAAAAAATGATGTTGCCACACCTGTATTTCTGTCTTTGAAAAGAATTATTATTTGTATTTATCAAGTCGATCATTTTAAAGGAAGGTTATTTCAATTATTTTGATAATGACAAACGATACCCACTCCCAGCATGTCCTACTAGAGATTTCTTGGTAGTTGGCACGAAAATTTGAGGGTTAGTCTTCTAGTCTATATTTAGATCATTTACGAATCACTTTTATTAATTCACTATTTATCTATTCATACTAATGGATAGTGATAAATTGGAAAGAAAGTAAGGAATGTTCCTTTCGAAGAAGGTGAAAAATTCAGTCTGTTTGACCACTTTCTAAATACGTTAGGTAAATTTCCCAAGTATGAGATATCGTACCTAGAAAAGTCGGTACCCCCAGAAGAATTTTTTTGGCAAACTTCGACATTTTTTATGAGTTTACCTATATTTAATTGTGCTTTATTTGTTTTTATTACTTATACGAGTATTTTTGCTCTAAAGTAGAGAAACTTGATGAACACAAGGTGAGGAACATGTTAAAATTCTCACTTAAAGTTTACCTACGTTTTAGTCAATAATAGTATTTAGAAACGCCGTTTTGCTGAACTAGTGCATTTACAGTCACATTAATAAATATTAGAGAACTTGAATTTCGGTCACGATTAGGTGATTTTCGTTTTTGAATATCGTCTTTTGATTTATGGAGTTCTTAAGAACCACCAGTTGTATTTTTCTGATAATATTTGAATACTGTCAGTACTATTTAGGTAAGACTAGCTTCCTATTCTTGTGTTATCAACTTTTGCAAATGATGATTTTTCAGAACTTAGGTTGCTAAAATTCTGTGTAAAGACAGGCTTACCGTGTTTCTAATTGAATAATTAGGTTTGACTGAATCTTAAAAAAAACAACATTTCCTGACTTCCTTCCTTCTATTCTTACACAACTTTTTGCGAAAACGGAAGAAGGAAAGATTCTTTTAAATGTCATTAAATGTCACTAAAAATGGAGAATAAAAACAATGAAGATCACAAAGTAAATAAAATGTCTGTAAGTGTTTTTAGACGTACGAAATCGTGCAATATCAAGCTTTAGAAGCTTCGAAATCTACTGCTTCTTTTGCCCAGATTCTGGCATACAATTGTTTCGTGAATCAATCTATTGAAACAAGCATTTTTCTTAAATGAAAGAAAGGTCTGCAAATGCTCTTAAACATCTGAAAACGTGCTATATATATGAAGCTTTTGAAGCTTCGAAATATTGCCTTGCCTTTCTTTTTCATTATTCATTGAGTTTTTCATCAAAAACAGCTAATCGATTTAACTGCAGTCTTTTAGAAGTTGAGTTCAGTTAAAAATGACCTTAAGGCCAAATTTTTCAAATCGTTCTTAATTCCTGGACCTCACAGCTGTCTTGACCACTCCAATAGCCTGATTTTAGTCAATTAGATTTCCACGATTGTGCTTATTTAACAAAATCCGTACACTATTGAAAGCAGCCGCTAGTATTATAGAAGAAGAGTTAAACATTTGTTAACGAAAATAAATCATTAACGCATTACTTAAATGTCTTTTTTACATCTAATTGCTTATCAAAGATGTTAGTTAAAATATATGCACTTTGCGGTAAATCGTTCAAAATTCTAGATTTTCATTTTATTTAGAAGTTTATTTATTCAAAATCTGATAATAGTAAAATCAGATATACAGGGCAAGACAGTTAAACCCTATTTGAAGTTGCTCCCGATAAAAAGCTAAGCGTTTCGAATTTCGCGAAATATTAATGTTCATTTGAAAAGTGCTGCAGAAAACAAAGTTTTTCGTTGTTACACTGTTTCTGGAAATGTTCAATCGACTTATAAGTGAATTAATTTTTAATTTTTTCATGTAAAAAAGTAATAAATTTGGTTTAATAGTAATTAAAAGAGCATGTTTCTGCAGCAGTAGAAGTGACTTTCAGTTAAGAGTTAAAAGTGATGTATATTTTAAACCTGTAAAGCGCGAGCCAGAGCCTCACAAGCCGAGTGTGTTCTTTGTGCCACTCTAAGTTTCATCGGGCATCAGTTTAACTCAATAATTGCATTACCCGAATTGAAAGTGGGCTTTAAACGTCGATAGTAAGGGCGGAAATGTCGTCCAATAAAATAAGACTAAGAAATAGGTTTTTAACTTTTTATTGTCAAATAAATACGTATTACAATGAGCATAAAGGCAACATACATATTTGAAAAACCCAGAAAAATTATCACCAAATTTTCCGTTGAAATATATTGAATAATTTAATAATAAACCGATTAGGTAGGAAGTAAATTAATGTTATACAACAAACTTATTTGATTAAGAATGCATTATGTATATGGTTTTCCAGATAAGCAGTCAATTGTCTGCAGGATAAGAATCTTTCAAAAATGTCATTAAATCATTCAAATAATTATCATTCAAGAGAGATAAAAATGATCGCCAATATCTATCAGATAACAAACAGGTACTACAGCACTCATTTGAACTAGAATGTACTGGAAAAAATGTGGAGTTACAATATAATCGAGAATCTGATAGAATGCTGATTTTTTGCTCATAATAACACATATGGGGTTCTTTGTTGTAAAAATAAATTATACAAGAATTTACAAAAATAAGTACACACTTAGAAATAATAAAGCAAACTTAATGAACTTTAAACATATTTTTTAAATTGAGATTCTTTCACAGTGTTGTTACAGCTAATTCGGGCGATTCTAATAACTAGATAGCTTTATCATTTTGTTTTGAAACACTAAATTTCTTCCGTAGGCCAGATTAAATGAAATGTAATTTTGTCATTCTTTTAACACAAACTTAGGAACGTTATTTCTCGTCAGGAAATTGTGCGCATGCATAATTTTCATACTAATCAGCGTTGCCTTTCTTTTTGCTAAATTAGCATTCTCTTTGAATCGTTCGCGATACTAAATCCATAGATTCCGATGTGGAAGCTTCGGAAGTTGCGAATCATCATCTTCAGTCATCGTCATCAGACCAATAAAGCAAACTTAAGGAAGATCAAATATTTTTCTTTTAATTGAGATTGTTTTACAGTGTTACAGCTAATTCAGGCAATTCTAATAACTAGATAGCTTAATTATGTTGTTTTGAAACACTAAATTTCTTCCGTAGGCCTACCAGATCAAATGAAATGTAATTTTGTGATTACTTAAAAACAAACTTAGGAACGTTATTTCTCGTGAGGAAATTCTGCAAATGAACAGTTGGCAGATTAATCATTGTCGTCTTTCTTCTTTCGCAATTTCCCTTCTCTTTGAATTGTTCGCGATACCAAATCCACACATTCCGATGTTGAAGCTTCGGCAGTCTGCGAATCATCATCTTGGACCAAACTCGACAATGTCATAATATACGAGCAAGCGATTCTCAAAACTGATAGTTTCGAAAGTTTTTGGTTGTGTGAGTAGGATGGTACCGAGCGTCTTAAAGTATCAAAAGCAGCAGAAATTGTGTGCACTCTTGTACGTTCGCGTGCATTTGCTTCTATCCGACGTTCTCTAGTCATATTTTTATAATTCCTTTGTTCTCGTTTCTGTTCAGCCCTTTTGTCGTTTGGACTGTAAGACTCCGGGTTTGAGGATGGTGGCCGCACTTGCAAAGTCGGAAAGTGTTCATTAGTTTTGAGTATCATACGCTCCGTTTCCGCTGTGGAAAGTTTGGTGATCTGAGGATGAGCGGGCACCCTCAGATCGTCAGATTTTGTACTTGATGAGTCATCTTTTTCACGTTTTATCACAAGAGACACTGGTTCGATTTGTTGAGCAACTTGCAAAGGCGACGGTGGCCGAAAATAACAAAAAGCACTAACACTAGGTTTCACAGGAATCGGACTATTGTTTTCTACTTTAATTGGAAAAGGCACTGCAAAATTCTGGGCTGTTGATTGTAGTACAGGATCCAACGAACTGTTTTTATCGGGGCTCCAAGGACGGAACGGAGTTTTACCGGCACTAACATCGTCTGCATCCGCCTTCAGTTTGAAACACATCCGCTTTTTCAGAGGTCTGGAAAATGCTGTCTGTGTTCTGGCATCCTCCTCTAGTTTCCTCTTTTTGTGATTTAAGGTGATGGTGGACACTTTAACTTCCACGCTGTCTTCGCTGCTATCTGTTGGTGAGTGGACATCATGGTCCATGTAATCGTACGCCGAACAGGACCCGATGTCTTCATGAATCGATGTTGTCATTGTAGAAACTGCAACAAAATAATTGATGTTGAACATTTTCAGTTGACTATTTAGCCTCTGCTTTTATTAAGTGATAACAATAAATACTTAAGGCGCGAGACATTTTAGGTGATATCTAAAACTACTTGGTTTATCCAAGATATAGGGTGATTCATGATTTACAGTAAGAAATGACAAAAAGTCCTTAATTTAATTGAAATTTCCGTACATCAGTACATAGAGGAAATGCACTTGCAACTTCCAGGGAATAAGCATCAATTGACTCATTATAAAATTGTTTTGGAATGTTTAATGTAAAACTTTTCAGATTACGAACATTTTACGTCCTTGTAATATAAAGCCGACTAAATATACCTGTTGCGGTTAAAGTCCGTAAGATGTTTCGTTTGTTAATATAATAAGTATTTCTGATAGCTGATTTACAGTGAATCTAATAAAAACATTCAACATTAAATGCCAAAACTCAGTTTCAGTTACAATTCATGTTTCAATTGATAATTTTCATATAAATTTGATAAAATGGAACCTCTATCGTCCTAAAGATGAAAAAGAACGGGCTGAATATCTAAAATGTAATTTTTTGTTTGTTGGGTAAGATGAAACCGAAGAGAAATTAAAAATCACTTGACAAACACTAATTCTAATAATTTTTGGAAAATTTTCTACTTTGAAATCTGCACTGATTACAATATTTCTAGTTAAAATTTGTTGTTGCTGAAATGCTTTTGGAATCACTCTGTATTTGAAGGTTCACTTCAGATATGAATGGAGGCATCATTGAGAAAATAAGTACTCGAATTTGCCCTCAGCATTTTTATTTTGTATACCTACCATATTTTGACAATAAATTGCGATAAAACTAAACACATGTGCGAAAATCTGTTAGCTTTTTTTATGAACCTGATGTGAATTTGCAATTTTCATAGTAATTCAAATGCCGAATTTGGCATGATTACGAAATGTAGTTCAGGGGGCGTAAAATCAAGAGCAAATGTTTTAAGAAACCGTTTACCGATCGGATTTTTTCGATTGGGTCCTTTCTGGCAAAATTCAAATCACTAAAAATTCATACTCTGCGACCGAAAATTTGGTAAAGAAAAACAAGAAAATGACTTACTGTATTATTAAATAACAAGGCAAAATAGTAATATTTTGCTCCTGAACTGTTCTGAATGAAAAATAATGGATCTTGTATTTACAGCTTCATCTTTTACCTAAATTATCTAACGTATGAAGTCAATATGCTTGCGAGGTAAATGAAACCAGCTGGAGTAGGATCCTGTTTGTCATATAAGGTTATAAAATGAGCTGCAAAATTCGAATACAATGCCATAAATTGTTATTCACATTCTTATTGACATGGGGCAAAATTCAAATTTTTGAGTTCAATTAATAATTTTTGGCCTAGATGAATATCAAATTGAAACAGTTGTTGGTTCGACTCGGATAAAATTATTTTCCAGACATTTTCCAAAGATTTGTATGCATATTTATGAAATCCCTTGCATACATTTAAAAATCTAATTATGTATATAAATTTATTAAGAAACCAACATTATGGAGATTTTGAATTTACAACCGCAACTGTCTCCTACTCGACACATCTGGATTCTCTGCACCGCAAATCAGGTGCAATCCAATCAAACATGTTTAAATAACTTAAGTATTATTTCGCTGATCTTTGAACTTTGGACTACCCAGTACATTAGGACTAGACGATGACAAACTGATTGAGAACAACTTGATAGCTTTCAATGGTACTATTCGTGCAAATCAATGAAAGCAGAAGTACCTACTTGAGAAACAGATGTGATTATTAACGTTATCACTGAAGAGCCAATTGCTAGAAATATGTCGACAAAAAATGCTAACAGTGGATTACTACAATTATGTAGAAGCGTTGAAGTAAAAAGTACTTGAATTTATATGAAAAATGAAAAAAAACGTAAAACCATTATCTGAACTACAAAATTTAATTTGGAAATATCAGAAAGTGGCTATTCTGATGAGGGAATTATGATCAACTGTTCAACAGTTGAACTATAAACTAGAAGCGTATAGCATGTAGAAGTAGACTTGGAACACCCTGTATAGTTCGATTTGTCATTACGGGCTTAAAGCTAGGAGTTGAGTGAAATTCCCTGTATCTGAGCTATTTATAGCAAAACTAATAGATACCATATATTTAGATTCAATTCATTTTTTTAATTGACGAATGAATGTGATGTTCAAGCGCTGAAACATCCAGACATATGAATTTTAAATAGTTAAATCAGTCGTAAAATTCTAATCCGTTGGAGTAAACACCTGGCAAATGAGCAATGAAGACCGGCTTTCAGATAATTGAAGATCTTCTATATTAGGCATTCGGGCTCGCTTATCTGCAACATCAAGTTAAATTTATGGACGATATGCATGATATGCACAGCGGGGTAAACAACATATTGCAAACGCGACGGCCTAGTGGAACAGATTGGAAATATTTTACGCTTCCTAGTTTCAGCTCGTAAGCTGAAGTCGATGCTAAACGGTTTATATAACACCTGGAATCACTTGGAGACACATGAAGAATTTGCATAGATTCAAGTGGATATTCTTGACATTGTTTTAGAAAAGTAACCGATTCGAGTATAGGCAAATAGACATGAGCTGTAAGAGAGTGCGGACTTGGCTATTAAGTTTTGCAAGAATGGAAATATTGATACAGAAGAAGAGTTTTTGAATATTTATTATACATGAAAATTATTCTGTAAATTTGATGTTGAAACGCCGAAAAGATCAATAGGTATCAAATATTAATTGAGGTGAAGCGTGGTCTAGTTGAACTTTTTTGTATCAGTGCAAATTAATAGATGACGAAAATAATATTTTCAAAAACAGTGAAAAACAACAACTTCTTCAAACCAGAGGGTTGAGAAAAGACACAATCATACTATATAATAGAGAATCGGTTATAATGTTATAATATTTATAATTTATTCAAATCTACTTTCATTATCCGTATGCATGAGACTTGTCTGATTGTCACCAAATTCTGTATTAGTTTAACTACTTTTATAGAATGCAACATTACGTTTGTTCTGTATTTGTAATACAGTTTAGATTTTTGTTTCGTTCAATTATTGAAATATCGATAGTAAGTTGACGTGGCCATTGCATATTTTTCAATTCCAAATCAAAATTAATTCCTGGGTTTCAGTCATTTATTGTCTCTATTTATCAATTAAAATACGTTTCGGTGTATTTTTCCACCATCATCAGTTTTTATGTGTTTGTATGTAAAAATACACCGAAACGTATTTTAATTGATAAATAGAGACAATAAATGACTGAAACCCAGGAATTAATTTTGATTTGGAATTGAAACACAGTCAGGAAAGTATGTACAATATTTTTCAATATAAGTGTCTTTATACGCATCTTTTGGTACGTGAAAGGGATAGTCAAAGAACCTCATTTTTTCAGAGTAATTAGTTACAAGCAATTTATAAGAAATCCATTATCTTAAGCCTTTTAATTCAAAATCTTTGCCTAACTCGAGACTGTCTAATTTATAGTGAGCTAAAATTGATAGTTTGATGAAGCTTTAAATTGCTTGCGCATTGTTTAAAAAATTATATGGCAAGAAAGTATAAATCCGGCTTCCTAGAAAGCGAGTTTTTTATTTTAAATTAATTACAAGTAAATTAATAAGATTTGGAACGAAATGAAGATTTTATCTAAAATAGTGTTTGGTTTAACTACGACATGAAATATTTGTATTATTTTCAATTCAAAATTATTTGTTTTTAAGGAATGCAATCAGTATTCAAATATAAAATTCTGCATATTAGGATATCTTTTGAATTCGATTAAATTACTTGTGTATTGTTAAAAAACTTACACTATATTAAAAAAGTATAAACCGGTTACCTAAAAAACGAGTTTTATAAGTAAATGAATCAGTTCTGAGGCGTAAAAGAGATTTTATCCAAAATAGTGTTTGACTTGCAAAATATGAACAATGTTTGTATTATTTCCGATTCAAGATTATTGGATTATCAGGAATGTAAACCTAATATACCCAAATAAATTCGAGAGGGCAACCAATTAGCAGAGAAATATCTCTAGAAATGTCTGCAATCCTAAGATCTTTCGAATTCGAAGAAATTCTGGAAAGTTACAGGTTTTTCATTAATTTAACAAGTTTATTGTTTTGTTAGTGTTTATCAGTGCTTGTTATCCAGGCTGTGAAATTTCGGAACGTTTTTCGAATGTATGTCGATAGTATTATTGCTCTCCTCTGTATATCTTGCTCTTCCTCTGTTAACTCGAGTGATTTTTCTTCCACACATTCCGCAAGCTTTTAATCATTTTTATCATTTGCTTAGTAACGATTCATAAATGGTATAATCGGTATATTCTATCAGATAATCAGCTAAAAAGGTTTCGCATTTCACGCTTCTTTAATAATACCTTCATTTTTAATTATTTCTTCAAAACGTGGTAGCATTTTCTACTGAAAACCCGTTAAAGACAATCACGAAAGCTGTTGAGTTACGGACGACAAAATATTTTCAAAGTTTCCGCTTTAGAGTATGAAGTATTTAATGATAATCATTTGTCTCTGAAAGTAAAATTATACGTTTATTTCTTGTTTTCTTTGCAATTTCCTCAATGTTTTAATACATTTTAAGCAATTACTCCGCCTTAATAAAATGAGTTTGAGTGCGTTGCTGGTTTACTAAAGGATATTTATTATTATGATTCTTTGAGTTAGATGATTTATGCTCCGCAAAACATTTTCCTTTTCCTAGTTTTCTTAAAATTTTGAATAAAGAATTGGGATAGAAAAAATATTGTGATGAGCATTGAATTCGAGCTTGCTCAAATGACCTAATTTTCCTTTGATAATTGATCAAAGTTGCAACATAACTGTGGAGTAGATAATCACAATTAGGTAGTTTAATGTGTTGAATAGTCTTACAAATTGGGTCCAAAGTGGTCCAAAAACATTAGGAAATATGAATAAACAATTATTTGTTTTTGCTTGATTTTTTTATTTTAATTGCTGGTATAATTTTGATTCTGATATTTGCTAAATTTAAATTGTCGATTTTTTTAAATTTTTGAAACTTTATTAAATAATTATTGTTGAAATTTCATAGCTGCAATTAATACTGCAACGTTAATGTTCTTTCCAATTCTATCACACTTCACAGTCGAAACATTACTTTTACAAAAATTCAACTATTTTGCTAAAAAAATGAAAGGACACCCACCTTTAATTCTTAACTTGAAATTCCCATTCGTCATAATACCATGAAGTTTAAACAAATTGCACTTTTACAAAAAAAGTTTTTCACCATCAATCACAGAACACGTTTACTAATTAACTCAGTCTTGCTTTAAAAAATGTTTGGCACTAACGAATTGAAAAGTCCTCAAAGTTAACCCACTCGACTGTAGAGCGCACTCTAACTGAAGTTCTTCGGCACGGACAGTCGACTTGCTCAAGAACAACTGATCTCACCGATCCTTTGAAGCCAGTGGATTGGCTAACCCTCCATCTTCATGCTTCGGCAATGGTTTGCGGACTGAAGGCGGGTGACATGATTGTTTTTGTTGTAAAGCGGCAGTGTCGGCCGCCAAGGAGGGAAGAGGGGCAGGTTGGCGCCAGCTGTCTGGACAAGTGTGAGAGTTAACAGCAGTCCTGCTGGGAAGGAATTTGTTGGGTCGGCAGGTGTACAGATCGGCAATGCAACGGAGTCAGCCTAATCTGACCGACCAGTGGCGGATGGATGGATGGATGGGTGACTCAGATGGTGCCACTAATCAGACCTTGACCGATTCTTTTGGGGTAAACATTTAACTGAGTATGTACACACCAACAGGTGGCTAAATGTTGGTTACAAACAATGCGACCACAAGAATACTTATACGAAACCGGCAAAGGATCAGGATGGAACACTGTTCACCAGCTGGTCGGCTATTGTGGGTGGTGAAGCAGAAGAAGCCGATGTTAGAGTTTCCCAATTTGAGACACTATGTGGATATCAAGATCCAGTTTCCTATCTAAATCACCTGAGATTCGCAGACTCAACAGGTCGCAGAACTGTTAGAATAAGACTATAATCAAAATGCTTTTTAATATTATCAATATAAGTTCAGAAATATGTCTAGAAATTGTGTAGAAATTGTGTAGACATTTCAGTAATGCGTGAGTAAAGTGATAACTGTTGAAGAATAATCGAAGTGCAAAATGGCGTCAGTGTCAGCAAAATCATCAGAGTTAGTAAAGTTCGACGGCACAAATTTTCAGCTATGGAAATTTAGCGTGTGCATCGTATTGAAAGCGGAAAAGCTCTTGGGCATCGTGGATGGAAGTGTCCCCCAACCACAAGATTCAGCGCTTGCTGAATTGGCAAAATGGGAAGTCAAGAATTCAAAAGCGTAAGTAATTCTACTTACCACCATTTCTCCAAACTAACTAGAATGTCTGATAAATTGTGAAAATGCACATGAAATGTGGCAAAAACTCTTACCAGTCCATGAGCAGAAGACCGGAGTTTCAAAAGAACTACTCTGGCAGAAATTCAATGACTATGGAATGGTAGCTGGCCACTCAATAGCAGCACATCTCTCCAAAATAGAAAGCATGGTCAAAAATTTGCGAGATATGAAAGAGCCCTTGAGTGAGAGTGCAATTTGTTCAAAGGTAATAA